AGCATTGTAGGGATTCTGCCAGTTCCCCAAGGAGATTTTTTCCCCTTGAGGCCATTTTTCACCATCCTCTAGATTAGGGCAATAACCAAAGCTGAGATTGAGCTCAGTGAGCTGCTAATTTCTAGTGGAGTACAAACTTGAGATGTTAATGATGCACTGTGGAGCCAATTTGCACACACATACAAACTCAGCTGCCAAGTTGCACCTTTCCAACTTGTCAGGCAGCAACTTTTTAACAGCATCTACTGAGGCCTCATTAAAGTCATCCCAAGATTTTTCCTGGAGAGAAAATTCAATTATATTAAATTGTTTGTCATCACAGGATGGTTTGGTTTGGAAAGGGCCTTAAAGCTCATCTTGTTTCCACCCCCTGCTATGTGCAGGGACACCTTCAACTGGATCAGGTTAATCCAACACCCATCCTTGAGACTCCAGCACTCAAAAATACGGAATTTTTATTTGGCTTCTTTGCTAAAATCAGAGCAATTATTTCAAATCAGTTCACCTGTTGATGCCTCTGATTTATAGCTGCTGAACAAATAACATCAGCTGAATAACTGGACCAGAGCTCTGATTGACCTTGCATTGATTCCCAGCAACTGGATACTTTCCCACCTGCTTCCCATCACTGCTTGGCTCTGTTGATGTGTGCCAATTGACAGGGCTGGCAGAAATGACACAGACACCAACAGAAAGAATAGGCTTATTTTGCTATTGGTGTTTAAAATAATCAAAAAATGAATAATATATTTACATATAAGTTTAGTTTACTAAGCTCTAATACAAACAGCCCAAACAACAACAAAGGTAATAAGAAAGGTATAGCACCTAATCATTACTACATACAGGAGAGAACAGTGATTAAGAAAGATACATCACCAATTGCCATAATACTTTGTCACCATCCAGACCCATCCAGCTTTCCTTGGAGGTGGTGGTCTCAGCAGAGCTGGAAAATATCAGTGGAACACAAAATATTTACCTCAAAACTGGGTGACCAGGCTTGGGGGGTGATTCTCCCTAAGCCACACCTCGGATCAGGGATCTTTGCGGCTTACTCTTACCACCTGGAGATCTGGTTGTTTAGCCCTAGCTTAGAGACAACGTTTGGCACCAGAGGAGACATTTCTCCATGTGTGATCCTGAATGTTTTAAACTACTTTTACTTGTTTTGAAGCAGGTGCCTGGGCACTCAGGTGGCATCTTTTGAGCTGTTATTTCATGGCTCAGTAATACGTCACTAAGATAAAACCTGGTTCCTGCCTCTTTTCCTGCTTAGCTTTATGCAATTTAAAATAGAATTTTAGTTATATATTATTGTGTATTATTTCTATAATATTCTGAAATGACTAGTAAAAGCTTTACTGACATTTTAAAATGCTGATAAATGTCAAAAATGATTACAGTGGTACATTTTGGGTTTTCTCAATTGAAATTTACCCCAATTGACCTGAAGGACATTTTAATTTTTCAGTATTTTTCTCTAATACTAAAGCTCATTTCCAACCCAAACCATCCTATGAGGATTCTAAGTAGGAACTCACCATTAAAAAGGAATCTCATTTGCACAAAGATGGGAGGTGTTTAGAAATCTGTCCTAACCAGGAGGATCAATGACTCACTGATTCTTCTGATCTTCCTCCTCTTTCTCCTGGCGTGGGAGTGAGGGCTAATTTAAGGCAGAAAGATAGGGAAAGTGGGAAGCCTCCCAGTTCCTTTGCAGCAGTTTAGATTGGATCTTGGGAAAAGTTTCTTCATGGAAAGGGTTGCCCAGCCCTCGCACAGCTGCCCAGCTGTGGAGTCACCAGCCCTGAAGGGATTTAAAATCCATGTGGATGTGGCACTTGGGGACATGGTTAGCGGTGGCCTTGACAGTGCTCGAGGAATGGTTGGACAGATGATCTCAGAGAGCTTTTCCAACCTCACTGATTCTGTGATTTAGGTGGGAGGAACCCAACCCTAAATCATTCTAGCACAAATAAACTGGTGACAGCCACTGAACTTATATCCCTGGTAGATTTGGTGATGTAACTGCTTCCCTCATAAAGGATAAGGTCGGCTGAAGTAGTACATGAACTTAATTACTGTGAGGTGCAAATGTTGATTATTAAAAATGCAACATAGAAAAAAATCCTATTGTCTTTTCCTTAGTCTTCCCCAAACACTGTTGCTGTCTCCCCAGGCAGAATACTGGATTGGGTCACTTCTTCATAGGATCATAGAATCCCAGAATGGTTTGGGTTGGAAGGGCCTTAAGAATCATCTTGTTCCCCCCCCTGCCATGGGCAGGGACACCTTCCACTAGCCCAGGTGGCTCCAAGCCCCATCCAACTTGGCCTGGAACACTCCCAGAGATGGAGCAGTCACAGCTTCTCTAGGCAACCTGTGCCAGTGCCTCACCACCCTCACAGGGAAGAATTTGTTCCCAATATCCCATCTAACCCTGCCCTCTGGCAGTATGAACCCATTCCTCCTGGTCCTGTCACTCCTTGTTGTCAAAAATCCCTCTCCAGTCCCTCTCCTTCCTCTCTATATTGCCCCTTATATGATTTTAATGATTTCCTTCTATGAGATAATTATGACTATATTCTCAAAGGTTAAAAAAAATTCACATCCTTATATGTCTAAAGAAAATCCTGTAAACAAATTCTGCACTGTCTGTGCCTTCACCTGCAAACATCAGTGTCGATGGGTGAATTTGGGGACACTTAGTGCATGTGCCTCTGCCATCTGCTGTCACAGCATTGTAAGAGCACATAAGAGAAAGAGAAAATCCTTGTCCTGGATTCATTTATTTGAAAATTATAGTCCCACACAAGGGAAACTATTGAGAAAGTTTCAGTTTTTCAACATGGATTTTTAATATTAACATATATATCTATACATACACATAATTTGAAGTCTGTAGCCTTGAGCCACTAAGTCATTAGTCTGTAGGGGAGTAACTCCAGGTGGAACTCTAGGTGTGCTGCCAACCCAGCTCATCTCAGAAGACTCCACAGCGCTTCCACAATCTCCACATGGATTCCTTCACCTCCTTATTCCTCAGGGTGTAGATCAGGGGGTTCATCACTGGGGGGAAGACGGTATAGATGACACAGACATACTTGTCAGCAGGGAAGGTAGTGAAGGGCCTCAGGTAGATGAAGATGCAAGGCACAAAGAAGAGGGTGACGACCATTGCATGTGAGGCACAGGTGGACAGAGCCTTCCGGTGCCCCTCAGTGAGTCGGACACGGATGGTGACCAGGATGAAGGTGTAGGAGGTGACCAGCACCAGGAAGCAGCCAAGGGATATCAAGCCACTGTTGGAAACCATGAGCCACTCAGTGACGTAGATGTCGGTGCAGGCCAGGCGGATGACCGCCGGCACGTCGCAGAAGTAGTTGTTGATGGTGTTGGGACCACAGAAGGGGAGTTGGATTGTCAGGAGGGTCTGGACAATGGAGTGGAGGAAACCTCCTGCCCAGCAGGCAGAGACCAGGACCCAGCACACCCAGCGGCTCATGATGGCTGTGTAGTGCAGGGGCTTGCAGATGGCTGTGTAGCGATCATAGGCCATCACGGTCAGGAGGAACATCTCTGAGGAGCCAACAAAGTGCAAGAAGAACAGCTGGGCTATGCAGCCTTCAAACACAATGGCCTTCCTCTGGGAGAGAAGGTCCACCAGCATCCTGGGAGCAGTGACAGAGGTGCAGCAGATATCGATGAATGACAGATTGCAGAGAAGAAAGTACATGGGTGAGGAGAGCTTGGGGTCAGTCCTGACTGTAACAATGATGAGGAGGTTCCCCAGCAGAACCATGGCATAGGCTAGGAAGAAGATGGTGAAGAAGAGAACTTGAAGCTCCCTTGTATCAGAGAGCCCCAGGAGGATGAATTCAGTCACCCGGGAGAAGTTGCCCTGTGCCATCACTGCAGCTCAGGCTCCCATGGCACACGTGTGGGGGTGCAGTCATGGGCTGGCCAGGAAGAGAAGGGGATGTGCCACAGCTCCAAGGCTTATGAATGGCAGCAGGATGCATTTGCTGCTGTTCTGCCTGCTACAGAAAGCACAGTGTCACAGCATAAATCACAGTGGGCAGTGTTAGTGAAGAGCACAGTCCAACTCTCTCCTCCTGTCTCCTGCTCCCTTTGCAGGTTTCTGTTCATTCTCCACAATCATCTTGAACTCACTCTGATGGCTATTTGCCTGCATTGTAGTTGGTGTGACAAATATGTGCTCCCATTCTGTCAGGGAAGAGTCACAGAATCATTAAGGTTGGAAAAGCTTTCTACGATCCTCAAGTCCAACCATTCCCCCAGCACTGCCAACACCACCACTAAACCATGTCCCCAGGTGCCACATCTATATGTCTATCAAATCCCTCCAGGGATGGTGATTCCACCACATCCTACTCTCAGATAACAAGAGCTATGAATGCTTGAAAAATGCTCCCCGTCCTTTGAAGTGCCATGATGGAAGCAAATGCTGCCATGCTCAAGCACCCTGTCGATGATATATAGCTCAACCCTGAGCTGTTCTGTGTTCTACTCCTAATGGCATTCCTCTAAAAATGGAGGAAAGGGCTCTTCAGTTAGCTTGTCCACTCTGAAACTGAAAAAAAAATGCACAGAAAGCAGGCCTGGGAGGTTCCTCACTGGCATTCCTCTCCACAGAGCCAGAAGCTTGAGTGCTCCCTTTAGTCCTATTGCTATGAGAACACACAGTCCTGAAGAAATAGGCGGTTCAAACACAAGAAAAGCTGCAAACCCTGCACAGATTCTCTATCCCTTTTTTTTTTTGAAGGAATTTTTGAAGTTCTTCAGCAGAAAAATGCACTCACTGTCTTGTGGAGGTTAAAGTGGGACCAGCAGAGGAATGCTCATTTCCACTTACAATCCCACCAGGAAATTCCTTTGCTGCTCATTTCTGCTGAAGAGTTTATAACTCAGCAAGCAGGAGGTCACTAGTAAGAAATCAAAGTTTGTTTTTCTTATATACCTCTTGCCTTTTGCTAATACTACTAGTGCTAAAACAGAACACTTTCCTCAGGTCTTGCTCTATTCTCTATCCCTTTCCTGGTAGATCTCAACTGCATAATTCAGAATATAAGTCTGCAAATCACAGCACTGTCTTAGAAATAATCCCACATTTCCATCTCTGCCTCTCCCAAGGTCTCAGTAGTTTTCCAGAGATGCAGAGAGGATGAACTGTTTACAGCCACCCCTGAGGTTGTACTAGGCACAGACTTCAGAACAGGCACCACAGTGTGTGTGTGTAGCTCTGGCTCTCAATAAAGAGAAATAAACACTATAAAGGCATCACTCAGTTTACCATTTTTAGGTCATTACATCACAGTGAGATGATTTATCCCATAAAAAATAGTATCTCTGTCCTGAGTATAAATGGAGAGCAGATACCTGCCCCAGGCCAGCTGCCTATGATGCTATCAACACGAATAAAGCTGCCTTAAAGGATACAAAGGGCCAAAACATCACAGTAGTATTCACATTTTCCTGTACATTTTTCAACAGATTACTAAGAATTTATCTCTGCCTTTCACATAAGCAAACACAACCACACACATGTGCTTTAATACACCTTGGCTGACATGAAGAACATAAAGAAAGGAGAGATAAAAATGGTTCCTACTGTACCCAGTTACTAAATGTTGATACATCAACTTTGTGAGCTCCACATTTGATGCCTGAAAACATTTTAATTCATTCACTCCATGTTTCAAGTGATTCATCCAGGTCAGGGAATTGTTCCACTCTTTTTCCTCCTGCTTGAGTGTCCCATATCCTTGCTCTTGTTTTTCTTGTGGCACAGAAATTTGCTTCAGGGGTTTTCCAAGCAATTCTCTTTTTCTGCTAGGCAGAGTTTACTGTGATGGCATCAATGTCCTGTTTTCTATCTATCATCTAGACTGAAAGATCCAATGAGGCAACACCTCCAAAGCTTTTGGAACTGACCTCTGCTTCTCCTGCATCTTCCTTCTCCCTGAAGTCACACCATGGCCTATAAATACTCCTGGAACATACTGGGGACTAAACATAGGCAAGAGAGAGTTGGACCTATGAGAACTGTGTCATTAGCAAACTCCAAGCAGGTACCCAAGGGCCTCATTAAATAGTTCTGGTATTTGGGTCCTTTGGTTGGGTCCCAATTCACTTAACGACCTTCTGTGCAGGGAGGTTGGTGGGGAGAGGAGACACCACACACTTCTAAGCACTCAGAAACCCTTTGTATGAAACAACCTCCCAAGTTTCTAGCACTGAAACCATAAATTTAGGGTTGTACTTCCAATCTCTGCCTTGAGACAGTGCCAGGCACCAGGAAATGTTGCTTGATATCAGAGAAGCTCCAGGATTAAGGCAGGGAGTGTTGGTTTCTCAGGGATAGACTGTATAGATGCCTCATCAGTGTGAGATATAAACTGATATGGATGTTCATTCCCCAAGTCACAGGAAGGTCTGGCTAGGCCATAATATTAGTGGTGATATGTCACTGGTAACTGTGTCTCCAGATCAGCCTGAACTGGTTGTTCTAATCATGGTGTTAATTGATAAGAAATTCTCCTTCTTTATCTCAGCCCACAAGGAGTTTTATCTCACTTTCTCCCCTGAGAGGAAAGTGAGTGGCAGAGGGGCTGGAGGGGAGGTGTCCAGCCAAGGTAAATCAAACATGTGGCATGAGTTTTAACAACTGGAAACTAGTCCCTGAAAGTATTTGACCTAGAAAAGGAAGGAATGGGATTACTGAATGTTATGGCCATTTCTGCTACATCTTCAGGAGCCTCTTCCTGAAATCTAGAAAGAAAATAGCATTGACCTCACTCCTGGTTTGCACCCTAACAGCAGCAAAGATAAACCCTTCCATGTCTGCTAGTCATTGTTACCTCTTTCTCTTCCTGTTCTGATGGAAACATGGAGGAATTATAAAACTTCTTTGTCTAGGTAACAGTGTTTTACTTCTAATTTTATTACCATCATGAAGTGACAAGGACTTGCTGCTGTCTTTCATCTCCACATGCCATCAATTACCTTCAGGCAAGTGAGTGAGTTGTCAGCTATTTTAAGGGCATCTCATTCCTCTGCTTCCCTTCCCAAAATATTAGGGCCAACAGTTTTTAGAAAACTTGCTGCTGCATCTCCACATGCCATCAATTACCTTCAGGCAAGTGAGTGAGTTGTCAGCTATTTTAAGGGCATCTCATTCCTCTGCTTCCCTTCCCAAAATATTAGGGCCAACAGTTTTTAGAAAATTCATGCCTTGACCATGACAATTTGCATTGCCCAATTTGTTGAGATTCTAGAGGCATTTCTATGTTTCTCTACTGGAAGTGGCTGAGGAAAATGTCAACCCAACAATAACATTCTTATTAAGAAGATGAGGAGTGTTTTCCATGTTCAACTAGGAACTTGGTTGCATTTCAGTGTGGAGAAATATTTTCATAGAAACATAAAATCACAGAATGGTTTAGGTTGGAAGGGATATTAAAGACCATCTCATTCCACCCCCTGCCATGGCCAGGAACACCTTCCACTAGCTCAGGTTGCTCCAAGCCCCATCCAACCTGGCCTGGAACACTTCCAGGGATGAAGCAGCCACAGCTTCTCTGGACAACCTGTGCCAGTGCCTCAGCACCCTCCCAGGGAAGAATTCCTTCCCAATATCCCATCTATCCCTGCCCTCTGGAAGCCTGAACCCATTCCCCATTGTCCTGTACTCCATGCCCTTGTCCAAAGTCCCTCTCCAGCTCTCTTGGAGTCTCTTTAGGCACTGAAATGGGCTCTAAGGTATCACTGGAACCTTCTCTTCTCCAGGCTGAACAGCCCTAACTCTTCCAGTCTGTCTCCATGGCAGAGATGCTCCAATAGACATATGGACCATGTCTGTGCTCTTTAACCATGCTTGGACTGCTGCCCTGATAGATTATAAAGGTTAACTATGACATAAAGTCAAAGTCTTGGGATTCCCTTAAATGAAATTGATCCAGCCAAGAATATCCATAATTTTAAGTTTATAGTACAGGAGTGTTTTTTTGGACCTGGGCATTAATTTACATGTCTTACAGTTGTTGAAATTGCACAGCCTAGGTGAGTGTTTGAGGAACCAGGGGAACAAAACTGAAGGACCCAGCACATTCACCAGAAAGTACCAAGAACATAAAAATGGGCACAAACAGACTCAGCATCATAGCAAAGCTGTTAGCTCTCAGCCTGGAGAGCATTTGGATCATGACACTAATATTGACTGTAAGAACAGTAATTATTTCTACTAGCAATTGCACTGGCAGGGGAAGGAGAGAAGATTCCCCTCCTGTTATTGACATCAGCAAATAGCCAAACTTGCACCTAGCACCAGGTCTTTTTTCCCCTCCCCATGGTGTCTTAAGCTCATGTCATCTTACACACATGCACTGTGTCCTTTCATTTCTCACTACTCTTCACTGTTCTGCTCCACAGCTTTTTCATACCAGTTTTCACCTCTTGGTTTCGGAGGGTGTAGATGAAGGGGTTGAGCATAGGTGTGATGATGGTGTAGAACACAGAGACCACCTTGTCTGCTGGGAAGGTGGTGGAAGGGCGCATGTAGATGAAGATGCATGGTCCAAAGAACAGAACCACAATGGTGATGTGGGAACTGCATGTGTAGAGGGCTTTGAGCCGCCCTTTGGGAGAGTATGTCCTCAAGGAAACCAGGATAACAGCATAGGACACTGCAAGGACAACAAAACAACCCAGGGAAATCACACCACTGCTGACAAACACACTGACACTAATAATGTAGGTGTCAGTGCAGGCCAGCTCCAGCAAGGGGTGAACATCACAGAAATAGTGGTCAATCCCATTGGGCCCACAAAAGGGCAGCTGGAGGACCAGCAGGGTCTGCACTGAGGAGTGCACAAAGCCCCCCAGCCATGAGGCTGCCACCAGACAGACACAGACGTGTCTGCTCACTATGCTCCTGTAATGAAGAGGTTTGCAGATGGCAATGCAGCGGTCATAGGCCATTACCATGAGGAGGAAGATCTCAGTGCACCCAAAGAAGTGGGTCCCGAACAGCTGAGCTATGCAGCCCAGGAAGGAGATGGTCTTCTTCTCTATGAGAAGGTCATGAATGAGTTTGGGAGCTGAGACAGTAGAGTAACTGATGTCTACAAAAGACAAGTAACTCAGGAAGAAGTACATGGGAGAGTTCAGCTGTTCACTTGTCCTTATAGTGATGATGATGAGCAGGTTTCCCAAAATGATAGCTGCATAGAAGACTAGAAATACCAAGAAGCACAGTTTAGCTAGTGTCCTGTCCTGCGTCAGTCCGTAGAGGATGAACTCCGTCACGTTGTTTGTGTTCTCCATAGGCATCACACAGACAGGATCTGGAGCATGGAAAGAGATGCCATCTGTGGCATTAGACATGGGACATTATGAGGAGACACACACACACACACACACACACACACACTGACCTCTGGCATGTTGAATATTCAGCATATTTTTGGGACAGTTTCCATTTCAAGCCAATGCTTCCCTCAGGGAATGACAGTGATATCCAAATCACAAAGTATTATTGATGGATGTAATAACAAGCTCAGGTTGTTTAGTTGAGGAGGGTGGTAGAAATAGTATCCAGGTCCTGGATATAGAGTGGAACACCTCATAAATAACCTGTAGTGACACTGGGGTAATGAATGAGCTGCTGGTGACCCTCCTTTAATCACAAACACCCACAAATTCACATTTGCAGCATTCCCATGCAGTACACAAGGATCACTAGTGTGTACTACCTCTGGAAGTGTTCAAGGTTTGGATGGGGCTTGGAGCAACCTGGGCTAGTGGAAGGGGTGGAATGACATGAGTTTTAAGTCCCTTCCAACCCAAACCATTCTATGATTCTAAATCTGTAATTGAGATTCTTTTCCAGTTCATCTAATAGACCTCACTGAAGCCACCCACCAGAAATGTCTCTTTCCAAGGGCAGGAATTCAGACAGGCCTGAACAAAACAAAGGGATAACCTCAGAGCACTTACACTGAGAGCTTGTTTGCTGTAGCTCCTCTGACGACCTCCCCAAACCTCTTCAGGTGGTTTCATCAGAATGTCTCAGCTGCAAGTTGCTGCTTAGAAGTTGTGAAACCTCTGCCAACTCTGAGCCCTGCAGAGGCTGAAAGGAACAGCCCAACTCTCTGTCTGCATTCCCTGTTCTGCAAAAAACCAACCGCCAAGAGCATCTACAAGAACAATTATTTCTGTAGCACAAAGAGCTCAAGTAAATCACACAGCAGAAGCACCAGACTATCAGGAGTAATGAGATCCCAGAGGCAAACAAAGTTTTGTCAGAAATCATCAGTGGACAAGGAGCTAAATTTGTTCTTTGGACTGTTATTAGGGTAATCTCTGGAGAGAGGTGTTGGCATAAAGATGTTTGTTGGATAGGACATTTATACATATTGATATCACTTGATATAAATTCTGCTTTCTGTCCTAAGCTAATATTTTTCATCTGCATCCTTGTTCTTTATTAACTTGCTCTTAACATTCCATGTTGGCATCACACAAAAAAACTCACAACTGTGCTACAGATATTATTCCTTCGACATCTGCTCTAGAAATTTGAAACAAGAAGTAACACAGGAAATTACTCCCCAAAAATGTAGAAAGCTTTGTGCTTACTCTCTGCTTATTAGGTAGTTTTACTGACACAGTGCAAAGCACAGGGACAACTTCTTAGCTTGAGTATGAAGTTCTTGTAAGAATTCTTAACAAAGTATAGAGGAGCCTAATGCTGTTTTCAGTGACACCTTCCATAAGCTATGGGTGAATATGTGCTCAGCAGCACCCAGAAGTGTGACCTTCATAAAAACCCATTAGTGTTCACCTCCAAAGCATTTAAAAATAGATGTAAATATCTTTCAATATATTTTTATAAATTTTTTGGAGTATATATATATAAAGATCAGTTCTGTCTTGGGCTGGGAACACCTTGTAACCTTCAACCCCACTTAAGTCATGCTAAGGTGTAACACAGGTTCAGGTGTTTATAGAGGATGTAAGTGAAGAAATAAAGGCTGGTGGCACCAGGCAGGTATTTTCCTTTGTGGTGGTTTTCTGCTGGTGAGGGAGAGTCAGGGTCTCTTGTCTCCTTGTGGCTCCTGAGGTGTAGGCCCTGAGCTGCTACAGCTTATCACCTATATCACTTATATCATGGTATTACTTATCACAGTGTCAGCTTTGACTGGCACTGCCCTGGTTTGGGCTTTCATCTTGATGTTTCTTCTCTTCCCTCCTGGAATAGTACATGGACCAGGTTTTCCTTTGGAAAACAGCCTTGTGTAGGTGTGTAAATGTGCTCTGTTGGGATAGGAGTTGTCTTGGTTACTGGAATAGTTTCTAAACAATTCTGTTTTTTCAATTTTCACATGGAGTTTTTGCTTACAAATCCCTACTTTGATGACTCCTTCCTTTCTTACAGTCAGCAAAGTGTCTTTCACTACGTCTATGATCCTGTATTAGTCTAAACATTAAGATCAAAGAACCTGAGTCAGAGCTGAAGGACAGAGGGAATGGTTGGAAGAATGGCATCAGTGATAGGAGAAGTAGATAGAAGTAGGGAATAATTATGGCATTATAGAATAACTGTTTGGGTTAGAAGGACCTTACAGACCATCTCATTTCCAAGCCACTTCCATGGGCAAAGACACCTTCCACTAGCCCAGATTGCTCCAAACCCCATCCAACCTGGCCTCGGACTCTATAGAAAGGATTTGTTGTGGAGGCAGGGGAAGGGAGAAGCTTCCCCTCCCATTACCTGCACCAGGTAAGGGCCCAACTTAATATCAGGTTTTTGTGTGGGGTTCTTTTATGGGATGCTCTACCTGAGTAACATTTTCAGTCTTTTTGACAGTATTTATTCAGACACTGGTGTTTAGTTACTGCTTAGGAGCTCCTGGTCTGGACCTGTGCTTGTTGACAGGGAATAGAAAGGGAATGTCAGCTCATCACAGACTCTACAATGCTTTCCCCAGCAAAAAATGAACCTTTAGTGACTTCCTGATGACAGGAGGAGCTAACATCAAGCTGTTCTTTGACAGGCAGGTCTTAAGGAATTGTCACAAAAGAAATTCTAGTGAAAGATGCTTAATTTTCGCTGATCCTTTGCAAACATAACAACAGTCCTACACCTTTCCATTTTCCCTTCCCACTTTTCTTCTCCACAGTTTTCTCATGGTGCTCTTCATCTCCTCATTTCTGAGTGTGTAGATGAATGGATTCAGCATGGGTGTGATGATAGTGTAGAACACAGCCATGTTCTTGTCCTCCAAGAGGTCACTGGACGGACGGATATAGACAAATATGCATGGCCCAAAGAACAGGATCACCACAGTAATGTGGGACCCACAGGTGGAGATCACCTTCTGCCACCCTGCAGATGTTTGCCCTCTCAAGGAAACCAGGATGACAGCATAAGACACGACCAGGATGAAGAAACAGCTCAGACTTATCACCTCACTGTTGGCAACGAGAGCGATGGCCACGGCACGGGTGTCACTACAGGCCAAGTGCAGCAGGGGCCGGACATCACAGAAGAAGTGGTCAATTTTGTTTGGGCCACAGAAGGGGAGCAGAGCAATCAGAAGGGTCTGCAGGATGGCATGCACGAAGGCCCCCACCCATGAGCCCATCACCATGAGGCCACACGCGTGGCGAGTCACGAGGGTGGTGTAGTGGAGAGGTTTGCAGATGGCAACGTAGCGGTCGTAGGCCATCACTGTCAGGAGGAAGATCTCTGTGCAGCCAAAGAAGTGACCCCCAAACAACTGCACTACACAGCCCTCAAAGGAGATGGTTTTATTTTCCATGAGGAAGTCTGTGATCATTTTAGGAGCTGTGACGGAGGAGTAACAGATATCCACGAAGGACAGGTAGCAGAGGAAGAAGTACAAGGGGGAGTTCAGTTGTTGGCTGCTAATTATAGTGATAACTATGAGCAGATTTCCTGCCACAATGATCATGTAGAAAAGCAGAAACATCACGAAATATATTTTCTGAGCCACTTGATTCCCTGAGAGGCCCAGGAGGATGAATTCCTTCACACTGCTGGTGTTGTCCATGTTAATCTGTTGGGTGATATGCAGAGCAGAATCTAGGAACATGGAAAAATAAAGGCAAAATGATGAATCAGGTTTCTGCATTATTAAAAAGGATTTCTTTGTCTGAAGTGCATTCACACTAAGAAATATATAGGATTAGAATGAAGTCTATCAAGTTTTTTTGGGGGAGTTTATTGGGGTTTATTCCTTCTCCTCTATGTATTTAATTTTCCTTGCAAGATACATCAGCCATAGAATCATAGAATCATAGAATGGTTTGGGTTGGAAGGGATATTCAAGACCATCTAGTTCCAACCCCTTTGCCACAAGGCAGGGATGTCACCCACTAGATCCTTCTGGAACTGGATCCATATGATCCAGGTTACTGTTTTATGATTTAAAATTATGGCAAAATCAGAAACTCCTGTGCAGGCAAAAAGCTGATCAAACATCCACAGGAAATGCTGAAATGGAGGAAACCCCACATTGCTCTCAAAGCCACAAAGTGAAGCCTACAGAGGAAGTTGGGAAAGCTCAGGACTTTTCCTGCGCTTACAGCTGTAGTGGCAGGAGGTAAAAGATATTCAAGAAAGGGGGTAAAATTTCTATGTCTTATCTCTAAAAGTGTCTTTTCAGGGATAGACTAGAGGTGCATGATATAATGCAGTCAGTTGCCATATGAAATAAATACAATGTGCACTGTTGTAACTTAAAAAAAGGATTAGAAATTACACCATCTCCTTGTTGCAAATGTTTTTTCCCCTAAAAGCTCAAATAGTTAATGGGAAACAGAATTAAATAACCTAATGTGGGACAGTAGAACTAGCTCTGTACATGGTTCTGGCCAAAGAGAGACAGAGATCGTTGATAACTTCAATGGAAATATCTTTTTGTATTTTCATGTTTGTTCAAGAAGAAGGATGGAAAAAAAGGAGGAAAGGAAATCAGGAAAAGGAAAGAAGAGGAAGGGAAGGGAAAGGATCCAGAGAACCTGGAGAACTTACCTTCTCTGTGTTTGGAGATCTAATTTTTTGAGTGAGGGCTGTATGATTTTATCTCCTCAACACCTTCACTGGCAGGAATGAGTTAGAGCCCAGAGTCCTTAAAGAACGTGAAACAGCTTCTGGAAAGCGTCCAACACTTGCTTAGGAGGTGCCTTTGACTTTTCTAATCCCATCTCTTTTAATTTCTTGCTTTCCTGTATCACCAAGTGTATCCTGGTGTTTTCTGCCCATGCAAGAACTGCTTTGGTGGCACTGAAGGATGTACACACAACCCAGCAAGCAGAGAGGAGGCTGAGGAGAAAATTGTTTAAAGAGCACTCCTCAATGCCCTCCAAGGAAATCTCCCACCTCAAGGGATTAATTGCCTGTTTATGTAGAACTCCTCAACCCTCTCTAAGGAAATCTCCCAGCTCAAGGGCTCTTGAGGGTGCAGGAGGGAGGTGTGCTCAGTGAAGGGAAGGCATGAAGGAAGGGCTGAAGGAGAAGAAATCAATGCTGTCCTGCCAGGGGAGGTTTAGATTGGATATTAAGAAAAAATCCTTCATGGAGAGGGTTGTCCAGCCCTGGCACAGCTGCCCAGGGCAGTGGTGGAGTCATCATCCCTGGAGGGATTTAAAAGCTGTGTGGATGTGGCACTTGGGGATGTGTTTAGTGGTGGCCTTGGCAGTGCTGGGGAAATGAATGGGCTAGATGATTTTAGAATGCTTTTCCAACCTAAATGATTCCATGGTTCTTTGAAATAGCATTAATGGATTAAGTGAATATTAAATTGGACAAGCAGGTGATGTGACCTAGTCCAGTTAACTGTCTCCAGAATCCATCATGAAAGCAGCATTTATGGTTTTCCCAAGTCTGGAGGCCTATTAGATGCACTGATTTGGCTTTGTAGTCTTGTGCGTAATAAAACAAGACTTTTAAATCATTGTGTATTCCAAAAAGAAAACAAACCAAGCACAAATCTTCATTTAAAAAGTTAAGTCTGAGATGTCTAGTAGTAAGCAGAAGAGGCACAGGAGATGGCCTGAGTTACCTCTTGATGACCCTCCAAGTCCCTGTTTTGCATGGAATTTCATCACTGGCAGCTCAGTGAAAGTCTCTTGCAAGAACTTGCATGTTTCAGCAAATGTCAGTGAACTACAGAGTAAATTTAAAAAATCTTTAGTTTACAAATTGGGAAACCAAAGGAGGAAGTCAGTCCATGTGCATTTATGCAACCCAGCTGAGTTGAGGCTTTGCCACTCTAGGTTTTCCTATGGAAAGAAACAGATCTCTCCAGGAATTGATTCACCTGGTCAGTTGGGGGCAATGGCTTTAAACTGAGAGTAGGTTTAGATTGGATATTGGGAAGGAATTCTTCCCTGTAAGGTGCTGAGGCACTGGCACAGGTTGCCTAGAGAAGCTGTGGCTGCTCCATCCCTGGAAGTGTTCCAGGCCAGGTTGGACAGGGATTGGAGCAACCTGGGCTAGTGGGAGGTATCCCTGCCATAGCAGGGGTTGTAACTGGATTGTTTGCAAGGTCCCTTCCAACCCAAATCATTCCAGGATTTGGTGAATTTATGCCACACTTCAACTCTGACTCATCACTGCTCTCAAGTTTAGTGTGTATTTTTACCTTATGACTTATAGGCATCAATAAATAGATTCATCCACTGCCCATTGCTTTGTTTTGATGTAATTCCTTGAAATTTAGAATGGCCCAATAACAACCAAGGGAATGTGACCATCTCCTGGCACAGAATGCCAATGATCCATGCAGGGAAAATCAAAACCTTCATACTAATGAGGAAGTTAAATACTCCTCTGAGTGAAAACAGTCCTTTAATTTAAATACCACTTTACACTGTAGCCTGGAGTCCTGGCCAGGTCTGTAAGGATTAACAGTAGTCACTATGGGAAATAGTATTGGGTAAGAAAGTAAAAACAGTCTCACAATCTTTGGGAAAGGAAGAGGAAGATCAGATGACAGCAGAAGCTGAACAAATGTGTATCTAGCCTACTAAGCAAATTTGGGCCAGACCTGCCTGGTTCTATACACACTGACACACATGGCAGCAACTTGGCTGGAGTCATACTCCTTTCCTTTTGCTTCTCTGACCAAATGGAGTAGCAGAAGTGATTAATGCCCAAGCCCAAATCAAGAGCTGTTGATATCTCCTATTGCAAAATAGTTCCCTTTATGGCTGTTCTTCTGCCAGGAAAGGAGAGAGGTGTTTTCTCTGTTTTCACTCCAGTTCCTTTGGCTCATGGATCTGGACACTACAGTGGGGATGGCTCATAGAGGACTGTGCATGGTGAGGAATGTGGTGTTTTGAGTGGGTGGTGAATTCTGTCTGGGTACAGACAGGAGGTGGGGAAAAGCAGTGAGTTTGCTGGTGGGCAGGTTGGGGCTGAGGCACCATTTGGGGGGGAAGTTGTGAAACTAGAAGTAAAAGGTGTAAGACTGGAGGCAGTTTTGAGGGAGTTTGTGAAATCAGAAGTGCCTGAGGTGTGGTGAAGGACTGTGCTGAAAGGCTGTGAAGTGGGAGGCTGCTGCTGTGAGGTATGAAGTTGCATTGGACAAGAAGTTGCATTAGGACAAGAGGGCACAGACTCAAGCTCTGCCAGGGGAGGTTTAGGTTGGATATTAGGAAGAGATTTTTTACAGAGAGAGTGATCAGGCATTGGAATGAGCTGCTCAGGGAGGTGGTGGATTCACTGTCCCTGGAGGTTTTCAAGCTGAGACTGGATACGGCACTGGGTGCCATGGTCTAGTAACCATGGTAGGGTTGGACTCGATGATCTTGGAGGTCTTTTCCAACCCGGTTGATTCTATGATTCTATGATTCTATGATTGCGATAGCTCCTGAGCCCAGAATTGTGTACCAAAGGCAGCACAAGCTGAGGCTGTGCAGTTGTAGCTGCTGAGGTGTGAAGTTTGGGTGGACCCTCCTCCAGGGAAGGTTGCATGAAGCTATAGGGACTAAGGGTGCTCACTTGTGTTGGGAGAGGCTGTGTGTCAGAAGAGGACACTGTGGTGATGGATGTGTTACAGCTCGTTGGGCAGGGACAATAGGGCATGAGAAGTTGTGCAAAACCATCTGCTGTGGGAGAGGACAATCTCTATCTATGTGCCCCTGAGCAGCAAGAAACCATCTCCTTCAGGGGCTGTGAAACCAGAGCACTGAGGGACATGAGTAGGAAACAACATCAGTGCAAGAGACAATGGATAAGTTAGTACAGACAGTTCTTGTCAGTCTGCCTGAAGAAGGGAGAAGTAGTAAAAACATGTTTCCATGACAGTGCAAAGGGGGAAGGGGGAAGTGGCTCAAATCTAGGTGATAAGACACACACACACACTTGCGTTTCCCCCGGAGTGATTGGCTGGCTGATGTCACACTGAAAAGACACTGGCTTTTTAAACAGTGCCTGCGTAGCCTAGCGCTGCAGTATGCCACCAGCACATTCTCTGGACTCTATGTCACAGAAGACAGGTGACAATACTACTCAGCAGATCCATACCAGGCAGCTGCTGCAAACCAGTCACTGAAGTTCCAAGGAACCCACAAAAAGGTGAGAAATTCCTGGATGGATCTTTGCTGTTGCACTCTAATGCTTTCTGTCAGACTTTATGGTAGGTGATGAGGGGAAGGGAGGAGAAACAAAAGCAGTGGAGGAAAGGAAAAGATCAGGTGAAGAAGTGTTTCAGGCCAGCTTGGATGGGGCTTGGAGCAACCTGGTCTAGTGGAAGGTGTCCCTGCCCATGGCAAAGAAATGGAACAAAATGAGCCTTAAGGTCCCTTCCAACCCAAACCTTTCAATGATATAATCAATGGCACAGAGCAATGGCATTTAACATTGGGAAATAATCACCTGTCATTCCCTGAGTCCCCAGAGGAGAGAGATGAACTTATGGAGACAGGAGTGGCCTTAGACAGAGTTTAAGTGATACTCAAATGTTCATGACCTCTTCAAATCAACTGGAATTTGCCTCAGATTGCAGTGATAGCTTGTGGCAGAAATAGAGCTGCTTGGGGTCTTCTAAAGGCCAGGAAACCACATAAACACTAGGTCTTCCTCTGTTCTCACAGCACAGAATTTGAGGCTGCTTCAGCTCATTTCTGCTGTGAATCAAAATCTGATAATTTGTGGCCTCCCCAGAAGCAGGTGGTGAGGAAGTGAACAGCCATAAGCCTTGGCCCTAAAGCCTTAATTTAGAGGACCTCATGGTCCTACAACAGCTGAGGATGGGATAACCCAGCAACCTGTGTAAGAGTGTAGTGCAGTGCCAGAAGTTCCCTAGTTTCAATCAACCCTGAAGGGATAGTTTGGATTGGAAGGGACCTTAAAGACCATCCAGTTCCAAGACAGGGACATCTTCCACCAGACCAGGTTGCTCCAAGCCCCATCCAGCCTGGCCTTGAAATTCCCTGCATCACATATTTGTCCATGCGGAACTGAAGTCGTTGGGTCTGGATGAAACAATAATGATTCAACCTGTCACGTTTTTGGTGGTTTTGGCAGTCTCTCTCCATGTGTGCAGCAGTGTTTTACAAAGAGAGAACAGAGGATTCATGCTGGTTAGATGGTTCAGTGATTCACATCTTCCCAATTTTGGCTTGTTCCTCTCTTCTCTTTTACCCTATCTCTCATGACACTTCTCTGCCTTCCATGCCCAAATTAACAGCGAGTTGTGAGACCTCTAAAGAATGTTTGTTCTCATCATACCTAAAAAAAAAAAGGTGTTAACGCTATTTTTTCACCCCCACCCCCACCCCCCAAGATTCTACCCCAGTTCTTAAGGGGGAGGAAGCAGTGAACTGCCTCAGGGAATGGGGTGAAATAATTATTAGACCCATAACTCCACTGTCCTGTAAGGATGAGATATTTTGTGGTTTCTTACATGTGATTCCTTGGAGAATGAAGCTAAGGGCTGACTCTACCACACCAACATGTTTACTGTCTGTGCCACTTTAGTAAAGTAGAAATCAGTCAACAATATGAAAAACTACCACTTGTTTTCATAGAATCATGGAATTCCAGAGTGCTTTGGATTGGAAGTACCTTAAAACTCATTCAGTTCCAACCCCCTGACATGGGCAGGGACCCCTTCCACTAGACAAAGTAGTATCTACCATGTTTTCTGGGCATACACATAGGACAAAACTCAATCAGCTTTTATACTAACTAAGCATTTATGCTGGTTGCTTGGAACCTTCACACACTTCTGACAGGATTTTTGTCCTGCTTCATCCTATCTCCCATGGGACAATAATCCGAGTTGTTAACAAGTTCTCTTTTGGCTGTAAACTGACATTGGGTAGGTTTACATTGGATATTAGGCAGAAATTTTTCCCTGTGAGAGTAGTGAGGCACTGGTACAGGTTGCCAAGAGGAGCTGTGGCTGCTCCATCCCTGGAAGTGTTCAAGGCCAGGTTGGATGGGGCTTGGAGCAACCTGAGCTAGTGGAAGGTGTCCCTGCCCATGGCAGTGGGTTGGAACTAGATGGTCTGTAAGGTCCTTCCAACCCAAATCATTCTGTGATTTTATGAGGTCAAGTTCTGGCTACAGAGGTCTGGAACAAACCCAGGACCCCCACCAGGCCACCATGAAGGAAAGTCACCCTGTACTTACCACTTCTCCCCTCTCTGCTTCCAGGTCTGTCTGTAATCATGAGTACCTCAGCTACACCAATCTTCCTTCCAACTGCAACCAGCCAGGCTCATGGGACTAACCAGAGTGGGGCTGTGGGACAACCAGAGCCATCCTATGCTGTCCTCAAGTTCATGGAGAGCTTCTGCCTCATCAGCGCTGCCTGTGGGATGGTGGGGAATGCCATGGTGCTGTGGTACCTGGGCTTCCACATCCGCAGGAACCACTTCACTGTCTACATCCTCAACTTGGCCGTGGCCGACTTTGGGTATCTCCTCTGCATCGCCATCGAGACCATCCAGTACCTGATGCAGTTCAACGTGGGGGTTCAGTTTGGGATATTCCTCTTCCTGGATCTTTTCATGTATGGGACGGGCTTGTACCTGCTGACTGCCATCAGCATCGAGAGGTGCCTGTCCGTGCTCTCTCCCATCTGGTGCCGAAGCCACCGCCCCAAGCACTTGTCTGCCATCATCTCGGGCCTGCTCTGGGCTCTGTCCCTACTGCTTAACACGCTGGGCTATATCTTGTGCACTGTTCGTCGCTCTCCCAGGGTTTGCCAGAGCCTTCTCATCACCATTGGAACCTTGGACTTCCTCATCTGTGCACCCCTCATGCTGCTCTTCAGCCTCACCCTCTTCCTCAGAGTCAAGTGCAGCTCGCAGCACCTCAAAACGGGGAGACTCTTCACCGTCATCATGCTCACCATCCTCTTCTTCCTTATTTTTGCTGTGCCTCTCAGTGTCCTCATCCTCTTGGACTTCTTGGGCTACAAATTTCTCTATTCCCCAGAGATTGGCTTCGTGCTGTCCTGTGTCAACAGCACTCTCAACCCTGTCATTTACTTCCTGGTGGGGAGCTACAGGGATCGGAGATTCAAGCTTGCCCTCAGGCTGGCATTCCAGAGGGCCTTTGAAGATTCAGTGGATGATAAGGATGAGAGGGAAACCCGGGACACGATAACTATGTGCTCCTAATACCTTGGTCTAGAGACAGGAGTTGACAGAATTGAAGAACTTGGAGGTATTGGAGAAGGTTCATCTCACCTGACCTTCAGGATCATCACTCTAGGCCTTTTTGCTAATTATTTTAAGTTCCATCTGTGGTCAGTGAAAACACAGAAGCACAAAATTTACCTGACCACATTACATTAACTGTTTCTTTTCAGTGACTATTAAATAATATTGACTTGGTAAGGTGAAATGTCTTGGTGTCTGAATTTCATTGAAGGAGTCACGGGCAGGATTTGCACTTCAGTCAATAAATCTCTGCCATTCACAAATTCACATGTTCTCAGTAGCTTTTCACTTGGATCTCTGAAGATGAGATAGGAACCAACCCTCCTCCTATTGAAACCAGACATAGAATTCCTGGAAGGACAGTCTATCTATCCTTCTCTGAGCACACATAGAGCCTTTTGTGGCTCACAGAGCCATTCTGGGCTTCCTAACATGATCATTTCAAAGAGTGAAAGGTTTCACATCCTAGAAGTTCCTTTCATCTATAGCCAAGGATGTTTCCACACCAGAGAGCTGGAAAAGGCTCCAAACCCTTCCAACTTGCTTTACAACTTTATTCACTGAGTTTCATCCTCCCTTTTCTTGTGTTTCAAGGAAATACATGTCTGGATATTATTATTATTTTATATTAGGATATTATTGTCTCTTATTTTCATTTCCACCAGCCCTGGACAGGGCATCTAACTACAGCATATTTGGGTTGTTACTTCTGCCTTTAAAGGGACAGATTAGACTCCATGGCTTCTAACTCTCCTTTACCAACAGAAATAAATTTAAAGATTGGGGAAAAATATATAGGAAGCAGGAAAAATGTAAATAAATACCACAATTTGCAACATAGATCCAATCCTTTGAGGTGCAAGATGGGATTATTTGTACTCTCAGAGTACCTAACATTTATTCCTTTAGCCTAAATTGTTAGAAGATGGCAACACATGTAATTTTATTTGAAACTCCTTACAGATTTCCTCTTTGTGCCTTCACCAGCAAATATTTTCCATCAGGGATGATGAACTCTTCTGTCATCTTCTCTTTGTCCTGTTCCTTTGCCTTTTTAGCCAGTTTGGAAAGCACCACTTAAAAAACTAGAGGTTCATCCTCATGTCTGGAGTTGCTTGTGAACGGTTGGAGTTGCCTCCTGTTTAGAGGCTCTGAAAGCTGAAATTTAAGCCCATTTCTACTTCTCTTTAATTTTTAATGCTGTTTTTTCTGTCATGTACATCCAGGTGATTCAGACTAGGTCTATGTAATCAATTGTTTTTAGTAAGGTTTTTAGTCTTCTAACTTCTAAAGCTGAGGGGAAAAGAGCATCCATTTATCAGACAATGTGTTCAAAATGTTCTCATTTAATATCTCTAATGATTTTATCATTGGGACAACCAAAACATTTCCGTTATTATTCAAAAGGCTAAAAGCCTTTTTTTTTTTATTCCAAAGGAAAACAAATTGCATTTTAAATTATTATTATGCTCAGAAGGAAATTTAAAGTGATAAAAACATACAGAATATAAACTCTGCAAAACTTTCCAGCCTGACATTTTGGCTTTAAATGTGTCTCTCATGAAGTCATGGACACTTAATGTGAACACATGTTGCACATCATGTTAATATGAACATTTTTCATCTAACCTGAGGCATTTCAGAGGTGATTCCTCCATATCAGCCACTGTGGTGGACACACTTCCAGCAGTCAATCTGCATTCTAGGAGCTTCTACAACAACCAGATCGCTTCCCTCTCTCACCCCACCCCAAAGGAACAGCTTTCCCCTTCCAGCTCTCCCCAGCATCAGCTCCCAGTGTTTCCTGACTTACAGCCAATTACTTGGAACTCTCATATTTCCCAGCTGTGGAATTTTACCCCTTGGGATCTCTTGGGACCTTTCCCAAAGAGAGTGGTTTTACATCACCTTAAAATGAAGGAGGTATGAGCCCATGAATTCCAATTTATTCCGAACACAGACCAAATTTTAGGGCACTCAGTGACACTCATGACTTCCAGTCTTCCCTGGGTAGAGAAAATGACTCGTGGAAAGAAAGTTGGAAAGATGAGCAGGAGAGAAAATACCTTTCATTCACTGACGTATTCCTGGTTTAGAATCACAGAATCCTGGAATGGTTTGTTATCTCAGACTATTATACCTAATTCAGAGCTACCATAGGATGTGTTTCCATCATAGCTGTGCATTGCTTTATGGAGGGATCTGACAAGAACCAGGAATCCTCATTGCCCAGTGTGTGGGAGAGGAAATGAGACTTGAATTACTGTCAAAGACAGCACTAAGTGTAAGGCAAATCCTATAAAAATAAACAAAATAAACCCCTAATCCTAATGACCCTAACTCTAATGACCCTAAGCCTAATGGCACTGACCCTAACCCTAACCCTAACCCTAATGGGGGTCATGAAGAGAGAAAATGAGGATTGGAGCAGATAAACTATAGTTTGCTTAAAGCACAGGAAGAATCTTCAAGTCAGTGTGTATTGGAAAAGGGCAGAAAAGCCAAGTTTATTTTAAAACAGCTTGTGACTGACCCAAGCAATTCCAAATCCTTTGTCATTCTCAATTTTCCTTTCTTTCTTTCTCTCTCTTTCTTTCTCTGTTTCTTTCTCTCTTTCTATCTTTAGTTTTCACTTTGGTTTTATCTTTTTCCTTTTTCTCTTTTTTTTTTTCTTTTTCTCTTTCTTTCTTGTTTCTTGCTTTCTCTCTCTCCAAATTGTAGTTTTACCCTGTCTCTTACTTTCTCCACCACTAATCCCATCACCAACCCAGCACCCATTGCTCTGCCACTCCGCAATCCTTACTTGGCCAGCAGAGGTGGCCAGAAATCCTCCAGGCAAGAGAACCCCCAAAACACCACCAAAATCATCTGCTGAGCCAAGGGAGACAGAATTTATTTGCTGGGCAATTAAGGTCATTCCATGGGTAATACAGGCAGGGAACAGGACTGAGCCCAGCTACACTGGCTCTGAGCCATGTGCTCCCATGCCCCCACACGTGTGGCTGTTTCTGAGGTGTTGTATCTCCAGGTCACCTCACCAGCAGAGCCTTACGGAGCAGTCAGCTCCACCACAGTGTTCCTAGGCATGTGACTCCCCTCCTCACTCCCTTCTTTCTCCTCAAACACGCGGCGGAGAGCGACTTTGACGGAGCGCTGGAAACGGCGCCGCCGGCAGCTCCCCACCAGGACATAAATCATTGGGTTGAGGCTGCAGTTCAGCAATGCCAGCAGCAGAGGGGCATTTTCAGGGAATAATAGCTTTGTACTGGGAAGATTGAGGTAAACCTCTATGC